AGGCAGGTCGCACCTGGTGTATAAAATCACGTGGGTGAGTCCTTCATTTGGTTGGATCTACTTTAGTTAGAGATAAAGTACTTGTATTTTTGAATAACTTAATCCCAAATAAACAAGGGCAGGATTGTCGAATTATAAAAAAAAAAAATTACTATAGATATAAAAGAAAAAATTCTTTAGTAATTGTTCAAGAAAAACTTTTTTCATATTAAGTTAATTACTTTTGAGTTTTTAAATAAAGTTGTAGAGCTTATCAAAATGAATTTAATAATAATTAATAAACAAATGAGTCATCTAAACAAAAAATTTTCTTTTTTATATAAAATTTATTATAAGCTCAAAAGTAAAATATACCTATCTAAAACTTTTTTTTTACTAAGTAAATTACTCTTTTGATTCTAACAAAATTTGTAAGGCTCATCAAAAGGCATCTAATGATAATAAAAACATTAAAATTAGCTTGTGATTCTTAAAAAAAACTTTTAAAAAAACTTTTACTAATATTTAAATTTTTTTTTAAAAAAAATTAATTTTTTTTATATAAGGTAAATGCGGGTATTTTGACAAAGTTAACACTGCGTACTAATAAAAGTTTGCCAAAGCACTTCAAATTATATAGAGATTATATGATGATCTCTATGTAGCAATAATTTCTAACTTTCCTGCAGGTATTTTGACGAACACGACGATTATTAACATTAATGTTCATCAATTAGTATGAATTCTAATATATATAAATTTTTAGTTAAGAAATGTTTTACACTTAAAGCAAGACTTTTTGCTAAGTAAATTAAACTTTATTCATTAAGTAAAGCTGTTCGAAATATTATCTTTTACTTACTCTCAAATTTTTGCGCAGCACGAATAAATTTTTATTAATAGGTTCTTTTGTTATGCATTTTGGTGCAGAAAATTGATTTGCTGCACAAAGATGTTTAACAAAAAATCTTATTAATAAAAAATTATTCGTATTGCACCAAAATTTGAAAATAAGTAAAAAATAAAATTTCAAACAATTTTACTTAGTAAGTAAAGCTTGATTTTCTTAGAAAAAAGTCTAGTTTTCTTGTAATATGTTTAATTTGTTATAATACCCACATTCGTCAAAATACCTGCATTTACCTTATAAATTAAAAATATCTCAAAAACTACTAAGTCAATTTTAATGTTCTTACTATTATTAAATGCTTCTTGATGAGCTTTACAAATTTTGTTAAAAGCTAAAAAGTAATTTACTTAGTAAAAAAAAAGTTTTAAATAGTAAATTTTATATATAAAAAAAATTTTTGTTTAGATGACTTGTGATTTGTTTATTAAATCATCAAAATTGTTTTAATAGATGGCAAGATATCTTTAAAAAACAGTTTGCTGTCTATATACAGTAAAATTCTTTAAGAACAATATAAAGAATTTTTATATACTGTAGTTAGCAAAATGTTTTTTAAAAATATTTTAGCATCTACTAGGCCAATTTAAATGATTTAATTACTATTAAATTCATCTTAATAAGCTCAACAACTTTATTTAAAGACTCAAAAGTGATTAGCTTAATATGAAAAATTTTTTCTTGGATAATTACTAAAAAAGTTTTCTTTTTATATCTATAGTGATTTACATATAGAACCACATCATATTACATTATAATTATTCTTTAGTTTACTGGAAAATTATCAATTAAATAAGTTTCAAACAAATAATTCTTTGTATTTACCTAGTATATATACTTTAATCTAATAAAGATACTAGTAAAGCTACCAATATTGAAAAAAAAAGTAATTGTTAAGTTACAAATACAGTATTTAAGTAAAATTTATAATATAAATTGTAGATAAACTATTTAAAATAAATACTAAAAGTATATATAGCTAGTATAAAAATCTCTATTTCATCTTCATTAAAATAATTTAAAATTTTTTATATACAAAAACAAATTTAATTTAGATAATTATATTCTTTATAATTTCATCTCTTCAAAAAAAGTGTTAAAAAAATTTGTCTTTTAAGTAAAATAAGTCAAAAAACAATTTTATCTTTAAATTTTAATTTTGTATTCTGAAACCTAAAATAATTTTATTAGTATATATAAGCTAATATATATTTTCTAATATAAGGAGTTTTTTTGAAGCTAATAGCTATAAGCTTCTACTTAAATAAAAACCTTAACTCTAAAGAAGCTAGTTAAAAAAAAATTCAAATAGTAATTGTTTAAAAATACAGTATATATAGTATATACAATATTTATATAAAATTTTAAATACAGTAATTTTATTTAACTTATTTGATCTATAAGTAATAACAACAATTAAAACATGTTTTGTAACCAATATTATATTTTTAATTTATATACTATATATACTGTATGTTATATATACTGTAAAATAAAATTAATTTTAATTTTAATTTTTTAAAATATATTACAGTAATACAGTTAGATCTTTATAAATATATATTGTTATATTAGTAAATTTTATTAGTATATTTTAGAAGATTTTATTAATATATTTTATTAGTATAATTTATATTTATTATATGTTTATCTTTAGCTTTAGTTTAATAGTAAAATTTTTAACAAATAGTATTAATTTTAGTATAATATTAGGTATATTAACTGGTATATTAACTGGTACATTAACTGGGTTATTAAATAGGTTATTAACTGAGTTGTTAAAAGGATCATTAACTAGATTGTTAAAAAGATCATTAACTGGATTGTTAAAAGGTTATTAACTGGATTATTAACTAGGTCATTAACTGGGTTGTTAACTAGGTCATTAATTGAGTCATTTACTAATAAACCAAAAGATATAAAAACCCTGCCTTTTCTCCAAGGCAGAACAGACTATCTCTTTCTCACTTTTAATTCCTTATTATTTATGGTTTATTTTCTTGGAAGTGTGACCATTGCCTATCTTCTTTTTATTGTGTTTAATAAAGTCTTTATTGTGTTTTTATTATATATTTAAAGTTGAACCATTGCCTCTTCTTTCTTCTTTGAGTATTTATTTTTGGTATATTGAATTAAACCATCACTTCTTCTCCCTTTTCTTGAATATTATATTATGTTTTAGAATTAGAACCATCACTTCTTTTCTTTATTTTTGGTTTATTATTTTATTTTAAAGTCTCTTTTAGCTTTCTTTCTTATTTTATTCTTTTCTTGTTTGCAAACTCTCTTACATGTTAAGTCAAGAAGTATAGCTTTACTAAAACTCTGTATTGTTATATTACAATATATTCTTTAAATACATGTTCTATATAAAACTTCTCTAAATACTGTATATAATCTTGTTTTGTTTAACTTAAAGTATAATATTTATAGATTTTTATTTAAATGCAAAGTTTCTTAACCGCCTCTTGGTTATATATTTAAAAGTTTGACTATATATAGTATAATACTGTATAATATATTTATAGCCATGGCTACTGTAGCCGCATCCCATAAAAGCCAATCAAATTTAAAGATCAGATGTAACGTAACACAATCAGGAAACAAACGTTCGTTTTTGCCAAAAATTGTCTAACTCAAAATTATTATAAGTATATAAACTACTCTTTGGGTTTTAACAAAAAAAATTTTTTGCTAAATTTTACTATAAACCATATTTTTTCATATGCATACTATCGTTATTTCACTCTAACCCTAACTAACAAAGAAAAGGGTTATTTTAGTTACGGCTATGGTAGCCTATAACTACAAATATATTAATTTTACTATATAATAAATATATTCTGTATAATTTGTTTTTGCAGATTTTTAAAGTTTATAAAAAGCAATTTATTAAATTTGTATGGCATATATTTTAATTTTCTAAATTTTTTGGCTTGAAATAGCTTATAATTGTTCAAAAATAATAAATTTTTATCACCATACATTTATATTTTAGTTTTAAAAACTTTTAAAATAAGAATTATATGCATTACCATGTTCTTTAAAACTTGCTGATCTTAGCTATTTTGCATATAATCACTACCAAATTTGATCTATAAAAATTTTTTTTTTTAATGCCCCAAAGTTTATAACAAAGACCCTGATCTTAGTATCAAACCCCGAGATTATTACGTATACGGGTATAAAAATTACTTTCTTGATAGTTAGAATAGCTCTTTTTTCTCTATCGCCATCTTTCAGTAGTCCCGTTTCTCCTTTTTTAACGTTATTTATTATTTTAATTTTTTCTTGTTCACGAAAAAAAAATATATATAATGGGAGACGACGAACATCAGCACGATTTCCATGAAGCTGGATCCGGTGCTTCAGCCACCTACCCTATGCAATGCTCAGCTCTTAGAAAGGTATTGATGTATAGAATAAAGGAAAATTATTAGTCCTGTTTACTTACTAGAGTTTTTTGTTTCTAGAATGGTTATGTTCTACTCAAGGGTAGACCATGTAAGATCGTTGAAATGACCACTAGTAAGACCGGCAAACATGGACACGCAGCAAGTATTTCTTTTTAATATATTCTGAAGTACAAAATGATGATAATAACGTTGATTTGATGGTTTCTTCGTTTGGCTAATACAGAAAGTTCACCTTGTTGGTCTCGATATTTTCACTGGAAAGAAACTCGAAGGTGGGTGTGATTTTGAGTTGTGTAATATGGGTCTATTACATGTAATCTGTTTTAACATTGATTTTATGGTAGATATTTCTCCTTCTACTCATAACATGGATGTTCCAAATGTTAATCGTAAGAATCTCTATTATCATTGACATTGTGTTTTATACCGAACAAGAATTTTAATTATGCATTTTGCATACTGTATTTAGGCACTGAATTCCAACTTATAAATATTGATGACAATTACTTGAGCTTGATGACAAATGACGGCTCCACCAAGGATGATGTTCGTGTTCCTGAAGGTGAAATGGGTGAAAAGATCCAATCTGATTTCGATGAAGGTATGTGAACAACTATTTGATTTTTGTTTACGATTTTATTATTATTATTTTTTAGTTTTTTAAATACATATTTCCGGTATGACTTAGGCAAGGAACTTTTGGTCACCGTTATCAGTGCGATGGGAGAGGAATCTGTTATCTCCTATAAGGAGGCACCTAAAGGCACCTAAATGTATGTCTAAAAATTTTCGCATGCTATCGCATTTATTTATTGATGTTCATATTTTCGTTTTATTATAGCCTAAATTAGAGTTTAGAACCGGGTTATAGTAAACCGGGTCATCCGTGTCAAAACGGTTCAACCGGGTCAAAAATTTACAACTCGGGTCAAAATGTTTGAATATGTAACCTCTAAAAATCTGTTACTATTACACAGAAAACATAACAAAATTTAACACATTATTATTGTATTGTGAATAAACACCTTTTTTTTCTTACTAATTTATCTAAAATGTTCAATCCCGCTAATCTGGACTTAAAAAAAAAGTTACAAACTTTTGGAGCCTACTATACGGGCTATCTATTGCTTTGTATAAACCTCTTATTTTCTTTGCTTGCTAATTGTAATACGCTGTGTTCGACACGTTCGACACGTTCGATAGTACCCGGGAATTTGTAGCGCCAGGGTTCGGGTCATATAACGTGATTGCGTTGCATGGATGGCGTGATTGTCGATAGAGTTAAAAGTCTAATATATATATATATATATACGTACTAGAGTTGCTGGTGAAACTGGTGAAACTTGGTGAAACTTGGTGAAACTGGTGACTATCTAAAATCTGATTGGCTA